TAAAACTAACTCACCACAGAGACAGGAAAACAAGGGACCAATATTTGTTTAGTGTCTCTGGAATCAGGACATTGGACCCTCCTTGGGCTCCCCAAACCCAGAAAATGGAACCTTGAGTACATGCAGCTCAAAGCATAAAAATTACCAGATCCATGCAAAATTAACAGGAAGGAAACATGCATGTGAAGCAAATACCAACATAAAAGAACAAAAAGGAAGCAAACGGCCCCCCTGCAGAACAAAGTCCGAAGGATGGCAGACAGTTGAAAAGCATTGGGACTCGCTGTGAAGGGTACACGTCAGCAGCACACTAGTAGCATCAGCTAAATTAGTGACAGGACTGACCATTGGAGCCGGCTGCAAGTTGCCTGGTGGTAGATATCGGTACTAAATGAGTTCGAGCTACTTCAGAGTGAACCAATTGTTTAGTTTGAATCATTTGACTTTTCGATGCTTCATGTTCTACGAACCTTATAGTTGTTTGTAAGGCCTTGCTGACTTTCTGGATGCTTTCCTAGTGAGGGTGATGAAGTCATCATCTCTGCATCTCTGAAGCGGGACCAGTCTGCCTCTGGTCCCCAGTAGGTATAATGATAATAATAATAATAATAATAAATAATAATAATAATAATAATAAATCCTGTAACCGATGTAACTCGTGTGGAAGCCATCTTGGATTCCAGAAAAAATATTTAATGTTTTCTTTAAAAGAGCAAAGTATTATTAGCAATAGTATGACTGGCCCTGAAGAACCAAAACATGTAACTGCCCTTTTTTAACGTACTGTATTATGTATTACCGAACATAATGCTATCTTTAATTAGGACAAAAAGTTCCTATATATTTTCCACTTAATTCCCATACAACACTATTCTTTTGTTTCTTGTACCTTGTCCAAAAAATAATTGTAATTTGCAACATGTTCAAGGAAGGATTTTTAGTGAGAAGATATTTACAAATATTAAAAACTAATATATTCTAGTTTAAATTTCATCACAGTCCTTCCAAATATCGACTGAAGTACACTATATTTTCCATAATCAAAACATCAGAAAGAAATAATAAACTCAAATAATCGTTTCCATTTTTATTTGTAATACTTTCATACATTTCATAATGATAAAACACACTGGATTACGCACTGCACCTCCACCTCGAAGTAGAAACTTCTTTCTGCTCTGGTGGATAGTTCACAATATAGAAAGAAATATCACTGCATTGGAGTTATAACAAGTGGTGTACTTCTCATGAGAGCCTAATGCCAACCCAAGGCTGGCGAATGATCTCTTGATTAGCCACATTTGTCGGAGTGGAGAAAACTGGTACAAAGACCTATCTTATCAAAACAATTTTGAAGAATGATTAAAAGATTACTAGCCTCCACGCCATCCATCAAAACTAACCCGAGAGAAAGTCTTAAAAAAAACAAAAGAATTTGTTTATGTTTGCAATCATTAGCTGCCTGAATTAAATTGGCAATGACTGCAGATTCCATTTCGTATCGAGTTCAAAATTTTCCAGAACGGTACATCTGAAAATGATGTACAGTTCCGTTACATAGGCTCGTGAAATCAAAATCAATGACATTAGTAAAAATGTAAGGACTTCATACCTGTATTGCAGCATTGTTAACTCTTCACAATGAATGTACTGTATATCAAAGCAAATTTTCCCTACTGTCTTTCCATATATTGAGGAAAGAGAAAACTAGAGTACCACAGCTTGTAATCTCATACCATGCAACAATTGTTTCAACCAAATGTAACCATCAGTATGAAATATAATCCACTGCAACCATCTCTCAAAACTTCAGTAGGGTCATTTCCTTATGAACAAGATGTGCTCAAAACGTGACATATGCAAGACGACAGATCTTTATCTTCGAACTCACACCACTTGCAGAAGCATCCACATGCTAGGTCCCTTCCTGGAAATGGGCTTTTTATATGATTCAACAAAAAATATGAAGCTAATTGTGTGTATATGTATATGTGCATGTATGTATGTGTATATAGATGTATAATGCTATATAATGTGAATGACAATAAATGGACAAATATCTATAACCTTTCACTACAATGTTCACCATACCTCTGGCCTGATTGCCTCCCCACCCATCAAAGTGGAAAATGGGGGTAATGAACATGTTATGTATACATGTGAGCATTTCTATATATATTTATATATATATATGTACCTCAAAATACATATGTACTGTATATTACAGGTTACAGGATACATATATATTTACACAGTACATTCAACAGTGTAACCTCATTACCGTAATCAAGAACTATACAAGAGGAATAAATTGGAAAGACATTGGTTATCGTATTTCTAGTTCTTAAGACCAATTTTAATTCAGAATGTTGAAACCAAACCAGAAAATTAAAATCAATGATTTACGTATCACTGAGCAAGACGATGGGGGGGGGGGGGGGTGGTTCAGTCGTGTACCATATATGGAACCAGATCGTCCTCACAGATGCAAGTGTTAATTGCATTGCATGCATTTTCAACATTTAAATAATTTTTTCTCTTGATATATAAAATAGCTTTTTTAGAAAGTACTAAAATGCATTAAACTCTACTTACAATGCATTAAAATTACACTATCATTAAAAGGACGCAACTTTTCTGTGAATGCCTTTGTGCCACAGACATCTCGACCACATGCATCTCTCTGGGACAAAAATACAGATACTAATTTTATATGGAAAAAACACACAGGTGTGGATACACCTCACCCTACAATTAAGTACCACACACTGTATTCCTTAATCATAAATAGCGACGAAGGATCGGGCAAGGCAATTGCTACCCAACTCCAGCTATTAGTTGCAATAATCGAAAGGAAATGTAAACCATAGGATGAAAATGCAAGGATTCGTCCTATCATTTAGTATACAGCTGTCCTCATTATGAGCAATAACATTTCAGCCTCATCTAACAAACTGAAGTGCACTAATAGAGTAAATCAATACAAGTGCAATTCTGGAGACTGTGCACTCCAAAATGTTTTTTATATTGGACACCACAAATACTCTCAAGTTGACGTCTTGTGTCAACAACTTAATACCTCCTCATTTGTAATGAGGAGGTTTTCAGCAACTTCGCACTTAACACCACGACATAGTGAAGGACATCAAAACAATCACATGCACCAATGGTTGAAAGATGCTCAGTACCCTTGGGAGCTGACAACAGTAATCTACATTCTAGTGAATTCAACTTCGAGCATAATTTATTTGTTTGATAGCCCTCCAATAATCCCGTGGGACGATAGACCTAGTAGCCAACTAGTACCTGATCGAAGGCAGCAATCACCTCGCCCAATCTTTAGTCGCTCTCTATAATTAAGGACTACTTTATCGTAAGGCGAGGTGTATCCACACCTATAAACATCCATATTTTTACATGTAAAATTAGTGTACCTATATCCCTAGTGTCAACGATGTTAGATTGAAGAAACGTAAAAAAAAAAGGGGGGGGGGGGGGGAGATCAAGTGATTTTAGTGTTTTTTCACCCTCTAGATGGAAGAAAGTATTTGCACAGAATGGAAAAATAGCCATAAGTAAATCACAATGCTGTTGTGTTTAATTACATGTGTATTAGTGAAAACCTGCTTCCAAAATAAATGTTATACTAATACATGCACACACGAAGCATATACACAGATTAATCACTTAATTAATCTTTGTATATGCTTCATCCCTATTTACATCCCCTATCCTTTCCCCATTTATGCCCTATTTTTCCTTTACAATATACTCCTCACCTTTTTGTTTTATGTACCTGACCTCCCTAATGAAATAAATCCAATACGCCCAGCACTGTCTCATCACTTGAGAATGAACCATGTAGGTTCGAAACGTTGTGTAAATTTATAATGAGCATGACATTCTGCAGCTAATCACTTCTTTTTCTTCATCTCGTACAACGATGACATTTGGAGAAATCCTCTTCTAATTAAACCAAGATGCAAGAGCACTAGCCAGAAGGATAGGAGCCATAAACAAGAAAATAATCAACATGGAAAATATTACTCATTACTATATTATTACTGCAGAATATATTACTCATTATAAATTTACACAACGTGTATTTATATATATATATATATATATATATATATATATATATATATATATATATATATATATATATATATATATATATATATATATATATATATATATATATATATATATATATATAATAAGTATATATATATAAAAGTTGTGTGGGGTACCACTTCTGGTGCCAAAGTGGGGACCCTTTTATACATATTAGATTGTGTAAGGATTTAGAGAGAATTGCCAGGAGTGCATTCTGAAAAAAATCAAATAAAAATAAAAATATTGAAGAAAGATGCTAAGTGACTCAGAATAAAGAGGTTGGATCGGGCAGTTTAGGACGACGACTCTTGTCTTCTAAAAGGTACTGTACCTACATAATTCAGCTTTATGTATTGCACCAGTTATTATATTTTTTCAATAGAAAATTCTTTGTTTACATATCTGAGTGAAAACATGGAAAAATATATATTCTAGAATTTTCAGTAACAAAAATCTTACCAAGATTTACAAATACCCAGGATTTGAAACATTTAAATGTCTAAATCAGGAATTTTGACATCTGGAAGGAGTCTAGAACAAAAATATTTAGATTTGAGGTTACACTATTTATATATATATATATATATATATATATATATATATATATATATATATATATATATATATATATATATATATATATATATATATATATATATATATATATATATATATATATATATATATTTATATTACATATATACATAAGCCCACTTACTTATTTACCACTTGTAAGTGTCCATTATAACAACACACCAACGTCTAATTCATAATAACTGACAAAAACAGCAATTATGGATTTTCTGAATTATATTGGAGTAGCTTAATTCCCTCAGGGAACATAGAAGATTTGTTGACAACCATATAAAGGCATAAGAATCTCCATGACATCCAACATTGCTGGATCCTCACGCATGCTACAGTTTTAGACGTGTTCCTTAATACTTCAAATACCGTCAACAATTGAAGCGTTTTCAGAGGGTCTACGTACTACGCCAGCATTCCTCGAGTGACTGCACTACCACACAACTCCTGCCTCTGATACACAACATCAAAGTTGTCTAGGTATTTGCATGCAAGACTTGGGACCACTTTTAATGTTTATTAATAAACATTTTAAAATATCTTAATTAGGAATCATTTTATTATTATTATTATTATTATGACCTAACACTTATCCATACTGAATAAAATGGAAGTAATGTCCCACTTCCCCACAGAATGTGGGTTACAAAAATCCTAATCTTTTAAGATGCCAATAAAGGAGATTCCTTTTAAACATTGCAGAAAATGGACATCCTGAAGAGAAGGACACATTTCAGTCTAACTTTATGCTCCCTTCCACACGAGATGACTTCTGTCCAAGAGAGATTGCACCACCAATACACAACTCTGAGGGCAACCCATACACATTTGGTGTACAAAAATGACAGCCTTGCATTGACCAATCCTGGCTAAAACTATAAATACATCTGCTATTCAATGGATTTAAAAAATATAATTTACACTACTGTATGGACATTCTTTTTTTCTGAAGGTAGGGAAAACAAGCGACAAAATAATTAATACTAACAATTTGGTAGCAATTGAGATGAAAACCTTGGGTATTTTTAAGTCGGTGCAGTGATTTCGACCAAGCAGATGGATGTCATTCAGAATTGATAGCATTTGTATATGTTAAAAATCATGTAACTGGTCAGGGGAGAGGGGGGAGGGAAATTATAAAATAAATTGTTATAACTGAAATCTCATGTCTTCATTATATGTTGAAGCATCATACTGATGTTAATTACTTTTTACCTTATTCATACTTCTGTAACTTTAGGTAATACCACAGAGGTGTCCTATTCTCAGTTACTGATGCAGAGAAGTATTAAACAGTAAACCAAACTTGAAAATGATGGCACGCTTCACCAATTTGAATTAAACAATAATTATTTTGATGCCTTTTAACAAAATTGCAAATTTAAATGGGTGCTTGCAAACTTTTTTTACTTTGCTTTTTAAACATGAAAAAATTTAAACAAATCTTTGAACTTTTTAAAATTACTTGCTTAAACAGTAGTCATTGGTTTGATAATCTCTCTCTCTCTCCCACAATTACCACCCAATCCTGGCACTCTTTCTACCACCCAAGAGACACTGTATAATATACAACAGTCTTGTCCGTGGTTACTGCGAAATCCTCAAAGTTCATTAAAACACGTCACAAGATGAGCTTCGGCGAGTTCATTCTTCCGAGCTACGCAGCTAACCCGAGACTACCGAACGTCGTGCACAGCAACATTACTACTAATGAACATCAGATGAGAATCGCAATGATTTTTCTCACACAGGCCATCAGGAAAGAGGACCTTCACTCTGAGATGACTACTAGCCAGAAAACTTGTGTACACACACACATATAACCCTATCTTGGCAGTATTTATAATTTTCTATATATGCACAAATGAAAAAAAATTGTAAATCATGGTAATGATCATTTATTGCCACATCTTGGCTACAGCTTACTACCTACAGTATAATCTTTTCTATAATACACACAGTCAAAACAGAACAAGAACATGAGAACAAAAGTTTCAGCCAAACAAAAAATACAGCCAAAATATGGTTACAAGGTTATACCAAGTTGGTCTGTTTGATAGAACACATCTTGAAGTGAAGGTCCAACCTGTCCTGGCACAGTTTGCATCACTGATTACCTAACTTGTCTTCAGTAAGAGAGATCCAATTCTAGAGCACCTCCTCCTTACAGCTACTTTATCAGTGCAGTTGATGCTTCTCACCCTTCCCAAGACAACAGCCGTGACTGACGTGTCAAGAGCTAGATCTCACTCCCCGCAGATATAGTTAAGCAAGCATAGTTAATTCGGTTCTCGAGCACCTCTGATACATCGTTTTTTGACCAATCTCCACAGCTCTAATTTCCAATGATCCTACCCAAAGAAGACAACTAAATGAAGACTGATATATTACACAAATTAATGTTATTGATATTAAAAAGTCCCATTGTCACGAGATAGTTACAAATGACGAAGACCAAATGTAATGATAAAATGGCTGTCGCAAATATTCATGAATGATATATGAAAGAAAATGGACAAACTATTTTAAAATTACATGAATTGTAAAACACTCTTACATTCGCACCTAACACTAGTACTAGCAACAAACTTACCAGAAAGACGTTAAACTCAAGCTTGCTCTAGTGTTCACAACAGCTTTAAACACAAACTCACTCTGCCAGAACCATTTTCAAGTAGTTATGCAATATGGTTGTAAATGTCAAACATATAAATGGATCATTAAATGAATGAAATAAGCAAAAAATTCTATTTATCACAGACCAACCACAAATTTTCCCATTTAAAAACATAACTATACTAAATGTCCTTGGTCAAGAGGTAACTAGCAAACACTAGTCCATAGGTGGTACCATGCTTCATAGATGCCATTAAGTGTAATGTGAAAGCCACAGGCATAAGGTAGGTGGTTTATAATGAACCTGCATGCCCCTAAGGCTCAGCTGCTGGACCTAACAAAGTTCTCAATTGCCAAATATTCTTGGAAAAATATAGGTAAGCATGGCTCACCAAGAAAAATTGACTGAAAATTATTTCCGATGCCCATTCTCTTAATCCTTCAATCCACGCCAGTACGAACTTCACACTATGTCGATCTTGCCACACTGCACAATGAGAAAAAGCTTCAGCTTCAAGGTGTTGATGCGGAGATGAGTTACCATGAGGAAGTGGAGATGAAGTCGAGAAGAGGTGGAGGTGGTGGAAGAGACTGCACAAGCAGCCGGTGGGAAGGAGGGACTGGGAGCTGGGAATGGGGTGAGGGGGTACGGGGGGGGGGGGGACACCAGTTGCTGTAACACCTCCCTTACCCATCCTCTTTCGGTGGTGTGAACCATCCTGCAAAATATTCAAATATTGAAATCAACTCTAACATAGCAATACAGGATGATTACAGCTACATATTATAGAAGCATTTCCCTGTAAACATATAACATTTACTTAGTTCTTTAACCAATATTTCTATTACAGTACCCTGCATTGTCTATTGTGTATATGTTACCAGGTTTGCTGACATTACCACACTGATAACTTTCAGAGATCTAACTCTTCCCAGGAATAATAAATTATATCAATTTTAAATACTGTATGGTGTTGTGGAATTTCAAGAAGATGCCAACCAAGGCACAGAACTGAAAACCAAATAATACAAAATTGAACCAATGAAATTTGCAGCCAGCATAATCAATCATCTGGTTCATATGAATATCAAGCATAAATAAAAATTGGAGATAAAAATGCTTTGCAGAAGTTTAAGAAAACTGACATCACACACAGTCTACAGTGAATCCTTACTGTAATGAACTGCACTAATGAATTCCTCGATGATCCAAACAGATTGTGCTCATTGCAAATTGTTCAGTGGAACATATAAATGTTCAAATAAATGAGGGTTGTTCATCCAAGCCATTGCTAAGGACAGCCTCAGGATGGGACAGAATCATCATCGTCTATGCTCCCTTAATTATACAGATATCATTGTGAGATGATAACAATATGCAAACTTAAAATAATTATGTTTGCAAGTCAAGAATCACTGTTCAAACACCATTGCTGGTTATATTTTTTAGTTCCTTTTGCAGTGGTAGATGGTTAGAGCAAATGGAGGTGGAGGCCAAAACCATCAGTAGTTTCAAAGTATCATGTGACGAGTACCAGGAAGGCCGGACACCACAAGCATAGCTCTCATTCTGTAACTACTTAAATAATTACTTTGCCTAGTCAATGATGTATTGGTAATTAACCCATTAGCTGCACTGTAATTGACTTTTTTTATCAACACGATATCTTACTGCAGTAATCATTGTGCTGAAGACTGTAATAAAAATGTGGAGGCATTTCCATTTAACTGACAATAGACGAGACATGGGTGTGGAGTGAGCCACTGGCACGACAAAGCACAGCAGGTCGACTGCCAGGCATCAGGGTTGAGGGAGGGTGGGAGTCTCTCTCCTTCACCAGTTTGGTGAGAAAGTTCATCTTTTTGCATGTTTAGTTTCAACAATGGGTGTATTTATGCAATTTTGACACCAAAATGTTCAGTAATGATGAGCCATCATATGCAATGGTCAAAACAAAGAAGGCATAATAAATTAGCTTTCTGTAATTCTTTATATCATGACTAGTTAAGTTTGTGTAAATCCAGGTCATTACAAAACTGTGCCCACCAAAATTTTCATAGTTATGCAACCCACCCTCTTACAAATAACGTCACTTTTTGCTTGTATGTGCTAGGCCAAAAATTCCCGTACTAGAAAATTAAAATTTATTTTCCAAATGAAATGGACCCAAAACAGCAAGTTTTGGGTCCTTTGGTAGGTTAGGAGAGCAGCAAGTTCTTCTAAGGTTTCAAAACATCATGAAAGCTGAATTTAAAGTGTCCTCTCCTAACCTGACAGACTAAGCTAGAGGAGCCAGGCCAGAAAACAGGACAGTACGTCACTTTCGCGAGCTGCTTCCATTTTCTAGTACGGCGATTTTTAGTCTTAGTGCGGATACGAGCGAAAAGCGACTTTCTTTGTAAGAGAACGGGTTGACTGATATGGAATTCTTCACCAATGACTGCTCTATCATACACCATGGTCAAAATGGCACAATAAATCAATTGTAATTTTTCTTTAATATAAACTTCAAGAAAGATTGGTTATGATAGATTTGTACTTACCTAAATGCACTTCAGGGTTATCGACCCTTTCACTGCACACCACATCTGGGGGACAGTGTAGCTAATTGTCTGCAAACTGCACATCCCTTCCAGTGATGTATTAGGGTACAGCATAGATTTAAAACTCCTGTGGGTACAAGGGCTCACAATGGCTCTCTCAAACCGCTAGTAAACAGATGCCATTTTGAAGAAAAATAGTGGACACCATTCCTAAGTGTAAGGCATCAATACCGAGTGAGCAACCAAGGGTGGTACATGCATCATGAGCTAACAGCACCACTGTTCAGCCTGTGTCCACAGCATCACTTAAAAATTACGAAATATATAAGTAACCGATTATTTTGTAATGAAGTGTCATTGGAGATTTGACTGTGATGAAGACTATGTACAATGTTTAAATACCAGTGAACACAATTCTGTTTATGATGCTCACAGCACTGCCATTATTTGGTGCATCTACACAACATGAAACTATCTCATGCTCCTTTAGAAAATGAATTTGAGAAAATATATTCTTATCCAGAATTTAGTGACCAGGATTCTTATTATAGCAGCATTGTTACCTACTGTTAGTGATAGGCATAATGTACTGGAGGCCTTATGCCAAGACTGGTGACGACTAGTGTGTTGACACTGTCCATAATGTTATTTATATCAGAGAACGTTCAGTGATGAATGCCACTATTAATGTTTTTAGAAATCCCAAAAAGATCATTTACTTCCAACAATGCTGTTCACTTACATTTAAAATTTTTCTTAACAAAAAAATTGAATTATTATTTTGAATAAAATATTTCAATAAAACAGTAATGAAACGCCATTTTTTGGGCGAGACCCGGAGATTCCCCAGCAACCCTCCCTCCCTCCGGTTGGCATTTTTTTGCGTGTTTTTGATGTCCAGCCTCAGAACCGAGGTTTTGGATAACCGGCGCGGGGGGTCTGGGGATCCCCCCCCCCTTCTCCCTCCCGGGGAGGGGGAAGCTGTGCAGACAGTGGTGCAGTGACGTGGTGACATCATGCTCGTTTTTGTTTGGGGAGTTCTGTCCACTAGTTCGGCTTTTAGTCACAATTTCTTAACCAGAATAGAGGTTTGTTTTGGGGTGCTTAACTTTCTGGGTGCCTGACCCAGTCGATGGCAGATATAGAATGCTTCCAACCACACGGGGGTTTCTATAGGCCATTGCTCCTCGTGCCTCTCTGAGGAGGCCAGGTTCTGGCTCGTGGTCTCCCGTAGGCCCATGAACTCATTTCACACTGACTGATGTCAAAGTCTAATACTAGCAATATCAGCCTGGATAGCTCCGGGGAGCCGGTGGAGCTCCCCCAGAAAATGTATCATTAAAAGAATATTGTATTAAGATACAGGGTTACCACTAAATCTTGTCTTAAGAATATAAAAATCTTGTACTGTAATATGATATTAGTCTGTATTAAATCAATACTGAATTAGTTTGAAGTATTCTAGCCATTCTATTCTAGCTACAAGCACACAACTTATCAACATCAACATCTTAAGATTCTACAAAATACACAAAGAACAGACATCCTTTTTGTAAGAAGTACATGTAGCTTACTACTTTGTTCTTATATTTCTAATTCCAACCTGTTGTCTGCTGGGAAGCTAGAGCATAGCAGGCATGGATAATGGTTCTCTGCCCTCATGTAAACATTTACTCTACTGTTCCTAAGACATGAAGGGAAAGAACCAGGAATACAAACCAAAAGAACTAAGAACACGAAGGGAAAGAACCAAGGACACGAAGGAGGAAAGAACCAAGGACACGAAGGAGGAAAGAACCAAGAACAAAGGTAGCCCATTCTTCAACTCTACATCGCTCCACTGAATATTAACCTTAAGCAAGCCCTTAAGTACACTTCACTACAAGTAAACAAAAAAAAATTACTCAAGATTAACTTAATTCTAGAATTTACTGAACACCAAAGTGATCTTACAAATAACTAAATAAATCATAATAAATAACTCACCATTTTTTTCATGAATCTGTACAAGTGATTTGAATGACTGTTGTGCCCGGGCCAAACTGTACTGACCCTACAAAAAAAGAGAAGCACCATTTGATATAAAAAAACATCAATTATAATTTATTCCGTAATAGGTTAATTGTGCAAAATACAAATATCATGTAATGCAGAAATTCAAGATAATTTTGCATAAGCCGATGCAAATGGGACATTCATTATTGTACAAATTTTTAATGAAAAATAAACCAGTTGAAAAATGTTTAAAATGATAGTATTGTTAACTTACACTAACTTTGCCAGCCTTGTTTGCCCCAAACTGGATTCTTGCTTTTCCCTTAACCAATGTTGCTGCAATTTGCATTATCACAGCTTCTATTGTGTACGCAGAACTCCACCCCTACGAGAAAATCATTAAATCATCATTGCATCATTCACTTTCATGGGGTGGGAAGGCCTCAAGCAACCTCCTCTAATATAGCCATTATATGATTGCAAAGCAAAAAAAAATCAACTTCACAAATGTCACATTTTAAAATAAAAAAAAAAATTAGCATTGAATGCAATGAAATGCAATTTTCTGGGTAAAACCCGGAGCTCACCAGAGTTATCCAGCCGATATGTATATTATTAAACTTTGCCATCAGTGTGAATAGAGTTCTAGGCCTACCAGGGACCACGAGCCAGAACCTGGCCCCCTCAGAGAGGCACGAGGAGCAATGGCCTATAGAAATGCACGTGTGGCGCATTCTATGTCTGTCATCGACTGAGCCGGGCATCCAGAAAGGTAGGCACCCCAAAACAAATCTGGTTAAAACTACTACTGAAAGCTAACAAGTAAAACAGAACTCTCCAATTGAAAACAGAGCAAACGAGAATGACATCACTTGTCATGCCACTTGTCTGCAGCTCCCCCACCCCCCTCCCGCCAAAGACCCATCGTGCTGGCTATCCACCTGTCAGTTCGAGGCTAGATGTTAAAACATGCGAAAAAAAACCCGACTGGGGGAATGGATTATTACATTCAGTGCTGGTCATGAATGGGAGCCAAAGGGGCTGGGAGCCCCTTTGGGTACCAGGAGCTTTTTTGTCGTTGGCTACACAAAGCCAATGACAAAAGAGGGACAAACCTGGAAGGCAGAAAACATGTGCCTATAACCCAAAAGCAAGACAACAGGCAACACCGTAAGGACTCCGCGGACGACCCGAACCCCAGAACAGGGACGAGGGGAACCCCGGGCAACCCAAAGTACATCCAGGGCCACATAAAAAGCAACATGCAGGCAATGGCTGAAAGCCACAACCGGACAAGAAGACTTGTGTTAGATAACCCCAAGGGTGGTACTTACAGGGCACTCAGGGAAGGGAACCCTAAGCACATACAGCCCGAGTACCTGTGAATGTTATTCCCGGCTCGCACGCCACCGTAATAGTAGTACTGGACACAAGGCCCAGCACAACAAACACAGAATCAGGAACTGGAGCCACACGAACGAGCTACAATCACATCAGCCAAGAACTGTCGGGTGGATAGCCGGCGCGATTGGTCTGGGGCTCACCCTTCCCCCTCCTGGGAAGGGGGGAGCTGTGCAGACAAGCGATGCAGCAAGTGTGATATCATGCTCGTTTGCTAGTTTTTCAATTGGCGAGTTCTGTTTACTTGTTAGCTTTCAATAGTAGTTTTAACCAGATTAGGAGTTTGTTTTTGGGGCACCTACCTTTCTGGGTGTCTGGGCACCCGGCCCGGTTGATGGCTGACATAGAATGATCCACACACACGTGCATTTCTATAGGCCATTGCTCCTCGTGCCTCTCTGAGTGGGACAGGTCCTGACTCATAGGTAGGCCTAGACCTCGATTCACACTGACTGATGCCAAAGTCTAATAATATACATATCAGCCTGGATAGCTCCGGGGAGCCGAAGGGGCTCCACCCAGAAAGATACAATTTTGGATGTTTAAGGCAACTACAAAAATACACATACATCTTCATTCTCCACAAAAAAAATTTGGTTCTGAAAAACTGTCTGGAATGTTTAGTTACAGTAAGAATAACACTAACCTAACTATTTCTTCTGCAAATATCAATGGTATTAGAACCTAGTTACCTGTTTAGTGAGTAGTTCCATACAGATGGCACCTCCAACCAGCACGTATCCCCCGCTGATGACTGGATGGACAACGCGAACAAATGGTGGCTCGAAGGGGTACATCTCCTGAATCATGACAAATACTATCCTACAATTTCATGTATATACAGCCACAACCTTAACAAGAATGCACTAATGTGCATTCTTATTAAATGCAGCCATGATCAAAAGATTGCACTTGACTGTAAATAATACCATTGAGTCAATTATTTGCATTCCTCCTGTTTCAACCTTTATGTCAATATTCCACATAAGGAAGATACAGAACATAATTTTCATGGATAAGACTGAAATTAATTAAATGCTAAGAGTTTAAGCCTTCAGGACAAGTGAGGAGCCAACCTGTACTTGAGTAACACTCCTGGCACACTATGGCACAAATGATTGGCATCAATGGCTGGCATGCTATGGCACAAGTATTTGGCGTCACAAACATTCCTCTCACTACTATGAAATTGCAAAGTAACACGTTCCCAGAGGATAATCTTGTAAGCAATAATGTCACTGACATACCTTGAAGTGGAAATTGAAGAGAATATGATCTGTTCCTTCTTTCTCCTTGAGCAGCACCATGTCATTGTGGAGCGGCGAGTCCGAGTCCACAATCAGAAGCTTCACGTTCCACTCGTATAGACTGTCATTTACTAATTCCACACTGTACACTCCTGTATCAATCCAAGTGATACGAAGTTGTGAAGAAATATATTAAATTAGTATCAAGGAATAAAAGTATAATACTATATTTCTTCTAATTTCACAATTTTTCAGTAAGCAGGTACAGCAAAGAAAACTTTAAAATCACAGTACAAAGAGCGACAGTATGTGTGTTACATAACTGAATATACATATAGTATGCGGAAAATCCACAGAGAAATGGAAAAGGAAGATGAACGTTTCGGCCGATCAAGGCCGTTGTCAACACCAGACTGACCTTGATCGGCCGAAACGTTCATCTTCCTTTTCTATTTCCCTGTGGATTTTCCGCATACAAATGATCAGTGTTTCGTGATCATCAATTGCATACATATACTATATTAAATATTTAGCAGTTATTTGTAATATAACTACATAATAAACCATTTCATTTACTGTAATCAGAATTCAACTTTTGGAAAGGCAGAAGATTCTTAATACCTTACCATGGCCAACTCAACACACCACTTGAAACACACTTTCCAAGCCACCAATGGAAAAAAAAAATCATCAAAACGTCAATAAGTCACTTGAGAAACTTTCAGATACAGTGGAACCTTGGTTTTCGAATGCCCGCTATCAAATTTTTCGGTTCTTGAGCTCAATTTCTTTGACAAATTTGACGCTGTACTTGAGGTTTGCCTTAGTGTTCAAGATTGTTGATACACGTATGAGTTGACTGAGCACATGGCACGCCTCCCACCAGGGTCTCCCACCTACTGACTACCGCACTTGAATTCTTTTGTTTTTGTGCTTTTTTGTTTCTGAACATAAAACTTATATATTATACCATGGGTTCCAAGACAGTCAGTGGTAAAGTTCAACCTAAGAAAATAGTTGTGAGGAGGATGACAGAGGAAAAACAATAGATCATTCATAGTGAGAATGTGACGTCTCACTACAGACAAGTGTTAAAACATAGGGAAAAACAAGTGTCTTTAGACAGATTCTTAGTAAGACAAGCAAGCAGAGCCACAACCAGGTCCTAGTGGTATGCCTGCAAAACATAACAGTACACCCCAGAAATGTCATCAATGCTGTTATGATGGACGGGGACGCCCCTTCCAAACACTAACACCTTTACCTCCCCCTTCCTCACTGTCTTCCATATGCCAACAAGAGTCCTCAATAAAGGTAAGATATACTTGTACATACTGTAGTACAAAATATAAATAGAAGTACATATAAAATGTACTTTTAAGTTAATATTTTTGGAGAAGTGGAATGGATTAATTCACTTACATTACAGTATTTATGGACAAATTAGTTTCAGTTTTAGAATTTTCGGTTTTTGAACCATCTCTGGGAATGGATTAAATTAAATAACGGAGGTACCACTGAACTTAAACATTCAGATAAATTAGCTTTAAGAGTACATTTTTATGAAAAATGGGTTGAAAATTATATTTTAAATGACATTCAAAAAGAAAAACACACAGTAATCTCAAATACCTTTATTATTATTATTTTTGAACTTTCATATTACCTTTATTAAATTCTATATGCAAGGAGTTGCTTGTCAATTATTAAATTAATTTTTTTCATTACATTAATATTTTTTTTTGTGATAACATTCTCTGCTTTTTACATTTGAAAATCAGTGCTTGACCTTTAACAACTTAAGAGGAATCCAGCAATGCAGAGATACAAAGAGGATTCCCAGGTGACACAGGAACATTATTCCCTAGTGACACAGAACCAAAGAAGATTTCTCACGTGACACAGAACAGAAGTGTTCCCCGGTGACACTGGCACAAAGATTATTTCCTGGCGACAGGTACAAAGACAGTACCTGTCACCAGGACATGTACCATGTTTTACTAATTTCATGTTTTACTAATTACCATGTTTTACTAATTTGACTGTTTTGTGCCTGGTGACATGAAACGAGGCTTTTCAGCATTGCACAGGAACAAAGGGTACCCACTGGAGACATGCAGGAACAAATAAGATTTTCCAGCGACAAGAATGAAGAGGAATATTACAGCAATGCAAAGGAACAGAGGACACTGCGACGACACAGGAACACAGGATTCTGCGACAATACAGGAACACAGGATTCTGCGACAATACAGGAACACAGGATTCTGCGACAATACAGGAACACAGGATTCTGCGACAATACAGGAACACAGGATTCTGTGACGGCACAGGAACAGAGGATTCTGCGACGACACACAGGAACAAAGAGGATTCGCCAGCAGTGCGCAAGAACAATGGAAGATTCTAAGCTGATGTGCAGATGAAAGGTTTACTAGTGACACCACCACCACAACAAACAGGCTGCACATTTACAAGACCGTTCAGTGAAAATATTAATACCAATCAAGTTGTCCCACAGTATGTAGCTATTTTATCACCATTGTGAATAATTCAATCCAGCTCCAAAAGGGGTAAGGTTGCTGGTAGTTTGTTATTCTTGCTACCTTAACATTTTGAAGGCAAATAAATAATATATTTAGAAACCAAACGGTAAGAATTGAATAGTTCGACTACAAAATAACACAGAATCTAGTTTGTATATATAATACTTACAGAAATACAGTATTGAACAGCTGAGAAACTGTTCCAACTGACCTCAATGCAGGTCATTAACCTGGCAATTTATCATCCAAGTGTTAAGGAATTTCACCAGAATAAATATGCATGTAATGTGTATTTTACCTACATTCCTTTCATTTCTATGTATGTACTAATAATGTTTGAATGGATTAATTGTGACCGACCTCCCTCCTCTCAAACCTGTCTGAATGGATTTATTGTGACTGACCTCCCTCCTCTCACAACTGTCATTCTAAAGGATCGAGTGTTTTTAAGGGGGATTACACAGCATCTCGAACTCTATTAAAATATTCTTTTACAGTATAATTCAGTCAGGTCATCTGCTCTTTAAGGAAGTATAGTCAATATCCAGAACTGTGATAATGAACACACACTCCAACAGCACGCAACATGACAATGGATATTAGCGATGAATATATAACACCTTTATAGATATTCAACTTAAAACTCTGGACATATTACATATAAAATACTAAACAACTATGGGCAAATAAAGACTGCAGATTAACTTTTAATTTCAAAGTTAATACATCTACACACACACACACACACACACAAGGTCCTACCTTAGCCTAATCTAGTGATTCCCAACCAGGGTTCTGTGTTTGCAAAAGCATGCCCACCCCATCCCCAAAAAATAAGTTTAACTTGCCACCTTTAATGTAACTGAGTAAGCATATTTAAAATTATTTTAGTTATAATATAACCCATTAATAAAACAATGAAGCATTTTGAAAAGTTTTGCTTGGTTGGACATTCACATGAGTTTTTCTCATGACTACAGAGCAATACATCGGACAACCAATGTGAAGCCTTTCGGCCAATTTCCTTGAAAGCTCAACAAGTACTTTCCTTCTTTGTTATCAGGAGTGTGCGATTGTGTAAAATTGCAGACCATCAAAGCAAAACTATCCGAAAATTTACTCGGCCTGCAAATAGAAGAATTGAACTGATGTGTGATCATCGCACACTGAAAAAATGTAATTTAATGAACTATCATTAGATGTGTTTTGGATATCAGTGAAAACAGTTTCCTATTATTTCCCAGAAAACAAACATGCTATTACAATTCTCAACGTTGTACTTGCTAACAAGCATTTCCATGTTTAACAAATATATAACCACACAGTAAGAATGATTTCTGGGAAAGACCATCTTTGTGGTGCCTATCATAGATGTGTTAAAAAAAAAGTAAGTTCAAGCTTCATATTACAATAGGAAAAATAGAATCAATGTTATTCACTTGAAATTACTGTATTTTCAATTATAAATGTATTATATACATTTATTATTGTATATTATTATACATTTATTATTATGTATTTATATACATAATTATATTGACAATAGCAAAATGTGTGCTGAACTAGTAAGTTGGGTGTAAAGTGAACATGTTTATCAATATCAGTAATTAGTAAATAATGTAGAAATAGGCAATAAATACCCTTGTAATGTTATTAAAAAATTAGGAATTATTACTTAACCCTAATGCAACAGGCCTAATGCACCTCACCTCTGCACCGGGCCCTTATTCTTGGAACTCCATATTCATCAAGAACTGTAAAAAACTGCTATTGCAGGCCCTTCACATTCTTTGGAGACAAAGCCTAGATACTAGATACCCTGACCTACTAAAAGCAGCAGAGATAGCACCACTCCATAAAGTTGGAAATAAAGCAGAGGCAAAAAATTACAGACTGACAGCACTAACATCGCACATCATAAAAATCTTTGAGTGCGCGCTAAAAAGTAAGATCACAAAATACATGGAATCACAGCATCTCCATAACCCTGGACAACATGGTTTCAGAACAGGGCACTCTTGCCTGTTCAGTTGCTGGACCATTATGACATGGCATTTAATGCCATGGAAGACAAACAAAACGCTGTTGTAGTTTACACAGATTTCACAAAAGCCTTAGACAAATACGACCATGGTGTTATTGCACACAAGATGCATTCAAAAAGAATTACTGGAAAAATAGGCAAATGGATTTACAATTTCCTGACTAATAGAACCCAATGTGTAATAGTCAACAAAATAAAATCCAGTCCAACCATGAAGAGCTCAGTCCCCCAGGGTACTGTGCTGGCTCCAGTACTTTTTCTCATCCGCATATCGGACATACAGAAGGACACAATCTATAGTACTGTGTCATCCTTTGCAGATGACACTAGGATTTTCATGAGAGTAGACAACTTAGAGGACACAGCAAACCTCCAATCAGATGTAAATCGTCTTTCTATGGGCTACAGAATATCATATGGTGTTTAACGAAGATAAGTTCCAGCTCATGCGCTACGGAAAAAATGAAAATATAAAAACGGAAACTTGGTCAAATCATAATTTACTGTATATAAAGAGTTCTTCCAAACAAAACAATGTCGTCTCTCAATCATATAAGCAACTTCTGGGACATGTGGAATAAGTTATGATGTCTCCTTCGTAACATTCTGCCCTTAAAGTCGTGCAAGAACCATTTTCACCACAAATAACTGGCAGGAAACATTTTGTCTGCCAGCATGTACAGCTATTTTACTATGTGAAGAACCATCCTTGATTTTCTGTCTTTAAATTAACATCCTTAAATTGCAGAGGAAAGAGAAGGGCTCTATGTGGCTTTGTCACATTCTTTCAGCATGTTATATCATGTAGGTAAGCTTATGACATGGGAAGGAATCAAAGTTAATTTTAGTTTGTTGAAAGCTGGAAAAATTGCACAATGAACAAAATGCTCAATGCAGAGATGCATTGACATTCTTCTGCCCGATTACCTGCAGAGGACTTGTTTGTTGCCCAACTGATATGTAGAACGCGTGTACACTTTACCCCGGAGATTATTTTTTGACATTGATAAAAAGGCATGAACATTACATTTGAGCATAGCTAAGCACTTGGAATATTTCCAGATTAGAGCTCAATCTAAGTAAATTTAATAAGCTGCAGCGAGACCATCTATCTTCAGTGCCAAATGCTGCAGTAATGTACTGTCATAACTCTCTGTAGTTCTCATAAGGCCACTGCTTGAAAATAATCATTGCCAGCAGTCATCGAGCAGTGATATCACTGTTACTGTAGCCTATATTCCAGACAACCAACAATGTGTGTCAGGTAGGTGTGGAGGCAGAGCATGCACATTTATATGCTACAGTAAGCAGTGCTGGATATACTGTAAAACTAAAGAAGCCTAAGCTTCACGGGCCTCTGATGTTGGAGGGGGCAGCCAGAAAGCAACCTAAGTCCACATTGCTTACAAATTCTGGGTGTACATCTCAGATTTTATCAAATCAAAGCTGTAGTGGTTAAACTTGTAAAAGTTTGTGGCGATTTGCGGTGGAACAACCCCGCTAAAGAAGATTACAGTAGTTACCCAGACCTCATTGCTGGCTGCAAAGGTTCCCCATAATAGTTCAGGCCTCAGGGACCCATAAATTGTAGGTCCACCACAGAATAAGACCACATTGCATAAATGTCGTCCAAAAAGTAAAAGTAAAAGCACCTCCCCTCCCCCTTTTAGTGAAAATAATTGACAAGAGGGACCAAGTTATTTGTTGAAATTATTGACACTGGTTATTCAGAGGCCTACAATAATTCAATGGATGATTACAGGTGTCAAAAACCTAAGATCTCTGCTTCATTAATAACTAATTTAACAACCATAAAAACATTCATTTGGGTTATATTTGCAAAAAAAAACCCGTGTTGAGCAAAAATGACAAATGAATACCGACAACCCCCACTTTCCCAACACTGAAAACATTTATGGAAATTGGCAAGGAATAGTGCTACTGTTGTATGTGATAATTATACAAGCAGTAAAAATCTCAAGTCTTGTGTTGCTATTTTGCTTACACAGTACAGTATATTCAATGAAGGACGAGTTCTCTTTAAGTAGTGGCATTATTTAAAACTTTGTTTTTAGGTTATTCAAAATATACCATCGACTTCCAGACAGATATTCTGTTTATATTGACCCTTATGATAATTTCATGCAAAGGCATAAAAAAGGTGCTCATGGTAGACTATTTACTAGACAAACATGGTAGACTAGACATGGTATCATGGTAGAAACTATTTACAAGATAGTTTATTTATTTACAATACATATTTCTAGAAGAGGTCAAGAACTTTTTTTTGGCGGTGCGCATCACCCACGTTATTATTTTTCACCAGCTTTTTTTTTAGCCTAATATTTGTACATGGTTGAGTGCTTCTGTTATTATGGTAACTCTCGGCAAATAATTATTTACAGAAAAACCTAGTTAGTGAGCAGAATTGTAATTTACTTCCGTCATTCAGAAAAATATAACTGAGGAATTAACACACTATTGTTTTGTTATGTCATTAATCCCAAAAAAGCATTGTGAATGATTACCCCCTTCTTCTTCTTCTCTTCAAATGCACAAAGAAATAATGTGATGTATCAATGATAATGCATGAAACCCTGACTGTTTCAGTGGAAGCCTTAGGACCCCTAAAGGTTTCCGTTGAATCCCAGCTTGAATTACTTTGAGCATATCATGGTTCAATGGTTTAAGTTGTGTGCTTGGAAGTTCGCAGTGTGCGGGTTTGAATCCTCCCCATGGCTCCTACTGATTTTGTCATCGATACATCATGTTAATATGATTTCAGTGTTCAGAATTTTCAAAATAATTGTTAAATTTAATAGATTTGCTATATCTTCTATTTATCTTCCTTGATACACAATTAGGTATACCTCATCAGTTTACCAATGGTTTACACACAGCCAGCTTTTAGTGCCCCCACTCTCATAACCTGGCCTTGGGGGGGGGGGGGGGCCACTCGTCCATGACAACGTGATCGGCGAGACTGATCAGCCAATCACAGTCCCCCCACAGCCAACACAACCCAGTTGATCAGAGATTTCACGCATTTACTTCTAGAAAGTCTACCTCGGTGAAAAAGACGAGAGGCACTGTAAGCAGCAGGATGGAGGCATGCTGGCATCGTATAACTGGCTTCCTACTGATGCCTTATCCCATGAAAGTAGGAAATGGTGCCTACAATACAAAGAAGTTGCTGTAGAAGAGATGGATAAAAAATATATACAGTATCTGATATTTACAACTTTGTAAAGATACTTACAGCATGTCAAAGATGAAAAAAAAAATGTGGGGTTTACAAATGAATGAAATTTGTGTTTAATACAAGTATGGCATCACAATAACAAGATCAAGTGTGCTCTATAAATACAGTATTGTGCATAAGAATTAAGTTGTCATTCAACATTTCATCGACTTTAAATTTCTTATGTGCAGAACACTGCCACTTCCAACAACATACCAATATAGAACCATTATTAACTTCAGCACATGACAGAAGCCTATAAACCACTCCACCCGACGCCAAGATTTATGAAGTCAGATTGTCCCCAAAAGGAGGAGTTGAACTGAAGGGGACAGGACTCTGTTGCATAGCAGTGCCACAAGATTCATTCCCAGGAAAATATCAACAACAGTGTGACCTATCCTTTAGCCAAAAGCGGTTTCACGGGTCACTCGATTGCGCTGCTGATCACCGTACGTAATATCCCTCCTCTCCCTCCCCCCCATCCCACCCCAAAAAGTGGTGTCCCACGTGTTTCTGCTGGAGATGCCGGATAAGCCTGGCTGTGGTGGCTACGTGGGCCTGCAGCATACAAAGAAAGCCTCAAAGATCAGGCAATCACCAGGAAGCCTGGCCCCAGGCCAGGCTGCAATACCAGAACTCTGAAAATCATCCGCAAGTAAGATCCAGGTGTACAAAGGAAAAAAAAGAAGGGGGTGTCCCTTTTATTAATCACCAAAATATAAACACTATATGACACACAACATGAGCAAGCTTAACTGTACATGTATAGGCAAAATATAAAGGAAAAGAAAAGAATGCCCTAATTTATATATTTATTTATGAGAATAAGCAACATAAGGTGGTAAAAGCTTGGGGATTCAATGGTGTATAAGAAACATTAGAACATGGTGCTGGATCATACCACTTCTGGAGAAAGAAAAAAGCATGGCAGATATTACCTATGGCTAGTTTCTGGCTAGTTTTAAGTATCAGCCCTGCCAGGTGTAAACACAAATGATGAATCCTTGTAGGGATTTTGAACAATACCATTTGCCTTTACCAAGCACCCACTTCAACAGCAATTGATGGCAAGATAAACGAGAAAAAACAATAAGTAAAAACATAGTACCGATGGAGTTTTGTAATACCCAAGTGCACGAAAGAATCGGGAGAGCATGTAGCCAATTAGTGCTAATATACTGACATTAATACAAACGGACAAAGAGCCAACAAAGTCAACACGTACACCAAAAGCAGACGGGGGCATGAAAGCAGCAGTGGGAAAGCATCAGAAACAATGATGAGATGAGAATGAGTGCAATGGTTAGTACTGAAGAGGAAACCCATGTTGCCTGCAAACATTACACATCAACCTTCCAAGCCTGGAGACGTACTAAAGGTAAAAAAAAAAAGCACAAAATCAGTAGTTCACTGGTACAATTTGGACATTTCCCTAAACTTATCAACCGAGCCTCAAAACTAATATTAGAGCAACATCCACATTTTCCTCACCTTTCTTGAAGCTATCCGAGCGATAAATGTCCCTGAGCTCCTTCATGAGTCTATCGGTGGCCTGCACACTACCAGAGATGGACCCCCGAAGATAATCTTGCCTCTGGTTTGCCTTCAGTCGGTCCAGCGTGGCTAAATTACCCGGGTCAATACCTTCATCCTTCTGAGCGGCGTGTGACGAAGAGTTGTCCTCCATTTCCAAGTGGATATCTTCCTCCATATCCTCCTCCTCCTCTTCCATTTCAGAGTCTTCATATTCCTCATGCTACACAAAAAAAAAAAAAAATATTAAATGCTTTAATTTACCATATACAAAGAGAAAACAAGAAATTATAAAAACCAAAAAAAAAATATTTATGCAAATATTTAAACAAACAAATTAAACACACTGCATTTAAACAATGTTTAAGTATAATCAGTTCAATCATATACCACTGAATTAAAAAATCACAGCAATGAACAGGAATGATGAAATATACAAAAGATGAAGCTTCAACAAATATACAAAATGTATGAATAAAATAGTTTATACAGTACATCTAAAACATTTTGTTCACGACATTAAAAAAAATCCTACATTAGAAAGTTAGCACATTCTCAGTCCAATAAATCTCTCAAAAGCATCATTATAGAATTAGAAGAAAAATGGGAAATCCCCAATGTTTTCATACCAGATCAACTGTGGTGTACATACATCTCTCAAAGAAAAAGTGGCAAATCGTAGTTTTCAAAACGACGTTTAATGAAGTTCAAAATGGAAACCACGTAAAACGAAGTCAAATCACACTTTTGGAAGAAAAAATTCTAAAAGATTTGGAAGTAATCACGTCAGAAGACCTTACTTTTAAAGAACATAAAAGAAACTCAATTGGAGAGGAAAAAAAAAAAGACAGGTTGGATAACAAAAACCTTTCAAACCAATGATACAGTAGTACTTCAATACTAGTGCTTTTTAGGGTGGAATATTGTTGCTCACTAACAGCTTCATGCAAAGATGAAGAAATTGCTGATCTGGTGAACATGCAAAGATCTTTTATTAATGAAATCACTATGACAGTTAAGTTATTGGGACAGCTTACAATTTCTATACCTGTATTGTATACAGTGCAGGCAAGAGAAATACATCATTTACATTTGGAAAACATTAGAGGGACTGATTCCAAATCTCCACATGGAAAGAACATTATAAAAGACCAGGTGGCATGGCAGGAAGTGCAAAATAGCCCAGTCAAAAAGCAGAGGAGCAATAGATATGCCGAGAGAATTCTATAAAAATCAAGGGCCTAAGACTTTTCAACACACTCTACATGGGGCATAACTAACCAACATATCAATGTTCAAGAGAGCTTGATAATCGCCTTCAAAGGTTACTTTATCTACCAGGCTGTGATTCTTATGTCAGGCTGCGAACAGCTGAATCTGGCAGCCTGGTTGACCAGACCACAACCAGGTCTGGTCAGATACCAGGCTGTGAGGATCAACCCACAAGTAGTATTCCTTCTCCACATAATCTGTTCCCCCATACAAGGACAATCTATTCCCCATCTATTCCACAGCTGGCAGGGTATCATCTATACCCCCCCCATCACCCCCACACAAAATGGAAGTCTAAAAGATCCACATAAGTTAGCTGGACACTGCTAACCATCAAAGTATCAACATATGTACTGTATTGTACCTGTAAAAAACTCTGGACAACTAACAAAATCCCCCACACCGTACCTAGGTGCAATGTGGAGCTAAATAGAAAGACGTGATACAACCAGCAATATTCTCACTTAATAAAATGAACAATAGCAGAATAAGAAAATACTGCATTTAAATTCAAGGATGACGAACCAACAGTCAAAGGATCATAACGTTCACAAGACCTAAACTAGAATATGCAGTAGGTGCCTGTATCTAAATGGGAGTCGACAAACTAGAAAATGTGCAAAAACGTCCTACTAAATAGCAAATGGATCTTAAACACAAGAGCTATTTGAAGAGATTTTAGGACTTAGATATGACAAAACTAGTGGACAGAAGCAAAAGGTGACAATCACCCTGTGCAAAATTGTAACTGACAAAGCTCATAAGGAATATTAATTAAGATCTGTAACATCTAGAACAAGACAAATTGAAGCTGAGAAAACAAAGGTCCCCAAAAAAAACTTGCATATACTTTTGCAAAGTAAAAGCTTTAAAATATCTTACAACATTATTTCAGAGGACACCATGAACACAATGATCATACTGTAACTATACTTAGGTAAATACAGTGAAGTAATTATATATTCCCACATGCATTACCTTATTTCTTCACATTTATAATATTTATGTCAAACAAATTGTCAAACTTTTTTCTTTAAATGCAGGTGGGTACAGGAGACGACATTTGACTTGACAGGCTGAGAGCTCTCCATTCCCATAGCTCATGTTAAGCCTTACCCTACTAAATTTCCCTAGAATACAACCTGCCAATCAGTTAACAGGTAACTGCTGAGAAACTGAACCAGGTAACTGATTACTGCTGGGTAAACAGGAACAAACAGTTAAGGGGGCGTTATTTCCAAATTTGCCCAAAATATGCAAAACAGTAAATGAAAACTCGTTTGATTTCAATCAAACTTTTCTGACAAGTTGTATATGAAAAGGGTTTCATCTGGTCCAAGTCTCAGCCTTGTAGCATAAATAGGAAGGGAGAAAAAAATATTGAACTGTCAAAAATTTTCCAAAATGGTCAAAAACGATTATCAAACAAGCGTCAACTGAAATCATGTCTGACTCTCAGCTATCACAATAGCATATATTAAAAATAAATTATAATTAGTTTTATTAAAAAAAATTTAGTTAAATAGGCAATTTTTTTTCATCTTTTGTTTATAGGGCAATTTGCATGAAACTTATACACCTGAATGCAAGTAAACCTATCTATAAGGGTGCCAATTTTGGAGGAAACTGGTTGATGTCAACCTCAAGTCACAGATGGCAGCACCTTAGACTATTTTTTACTTATTTATTTTCAAGTAACAAACGTTCAAAAATCTCATTTTTTATTCAATTTACATGACACTTACACCTTATATGTAAAGTTTATGTCTCTAAAATCTGTTGGAAGCATTTTTCCTGAGTTCATTTATTGATTTTATAAATAGCAATAAACATGATATATTCGATTTTTTTTTTTTTTTTTTTTGAGGGGGGGGGGGGAACTTTGACTATTTGTATTAGGAAAACTAAAGACCTTTTGGAAAATCCCCTTCTACAGATCCTTTATTATAAGCTAATGTGTCAGAAAAGTGGCATAGAATGATTATATCTGATAGGTGTGGTTGTAAACACACTTGAAAATGTGTAAAATTCGTTGAAAACAAAAAATAAAAAATAAAAATCTCCCTTACTATTTAGGCTACAGTACTGAAACTTGGAACAATTGCAGCCCTTTTCGAATACAACTAGTCAAAAAATATTATTTGACATTGAACAACTTAATTTTCCAGAAAAAATGCCCCCTTAAAGGTTAGTGCCCAGTCGTTCATCCCTGGCCAAGACTAACCCAAATTAAATTGCTTGTGACACACACAGTGCAAGTGCATTATCACTATGCCACCCAGACTGACTTATTCCCATAAGCTTTCACAGTTTTACCATTTGTAGCCTTCTCTCAAACATTTATACATGTTGGCAACTGACTGTACAATAGAACCCAACATCAACAAAGTATACAGCATTTGTGAAGTGTACGTATAGTGCATCAAGAAAATAAACCCTCCCCATTTGCTCCACATTGCATTTACCCAACAGAAAAAGTTAGGTAAATTGAGCCTGCATCTAGAGGCCACAAATATAAAAAACAAGCACTCACGTGATCAATAACATCGCTGCCATTGATGACCTGAGGTACTGACACTAAATCAAGTCTGTCCTCCAAATCGGGCGGTTCCTCCATTCCATAGGCTGCACATAACTCTCGCAGTAGAAGCTTCACCTGCTGTAACACCTGCAACAACACTAATCATTAGCTTTCAACACAATATTCAACACAGCAAGATTATGTACACAAAATTTGATTCTAACTTTACCACAGACCCTTACCCTTAAAGGAGAGGAAGGGGACACAGGGAGGGGGTAGAAGTCAACATAAATGTAAATTTTCAGTTTTCAGCTGTCATTTTACAATATAAAATCAATACAATGCCTTATATATGATAGAAAATATGATAGAAAATATGAAAATTAACACCAATTATTTAATAAATATATAAACCTCTTATTTGCTTTCATGTAAACTATCCTTAAAAAAAAAAAAAAAAAATGGCCTAAGCCTATTTTAAGACAACCAAAATATAAATGATCATGCCTTTACCAGTACAGGGGTATGTACCTTGGTTTAAGAGTTTAATCCGTTCCTGGAGACAGCTCGTAATCCGAAAAGTCACAAACCAAAACTAATTTCCCCACAAGAAATAATGGGAAATGAATTAATCCGTTCCAAACTACCCAAAAACCTCACTTCAAACTAAATTTTATACCTAATTCATCCAAATCTACACTACAAAAGTATGTTCAAGTTATTACTTACCCTTGCTGATGACTGCTGTTGGTGTATGGAAGATAGTGAGGAGGAGGGAGGATGAGAGGTGTTACTGTTAGGGGAGTCCCCTTCCATTATAACATCAGGCAGTAAAGATTTTTCTGGAGTACACTCTCTGGCATGTTTTGCCTGCCTACCACTAGGTCCTGGTTGTGGCTCTCTGCTCGATTTTCTCAACGGAACAAATTTTTCCCTTTTTTGCAACACTTGTCTGTAGTAAGACATCACATTGTCATTTAAAAGGTCAATGCAACGGCCTGCTACAGCTTTATCTGGGCGAGTTTTTCAACAAAACTTTGCAGTTCTTCCCATACTTCACACATTTTCTTAATGAGGAAGGGACATCCTCAACTTGACTATTTTCTTAGGTTGAACCTTACCAATGGCTTTCTTGGGACCCATGGCAAGATATATACAGTACATAAAAATTATGATACTGGTACTGTATATATCAAATATTATATGATACTATACTGAATAATAACCATATGACCATGTTAAATTATCATGTGAGTTTAGTTGTTGCCCAATCAACTGCATCTTGCCAGGTGACAATGGACAAATAAACAAGGTGTACGAGTTCCTGCTCAATATTATTTGCAATTTCCTTGGATGGTAATTTCCTTGGACCTAAAGCATGATGGGTAAAATGGCTACAACAGGTAGAAATTATTGTAAAAGGCCAAAGAAACAAAGGATGACATTATTAGAAATTAGGCTAAATGCTAGGTAGGTATACCAAGGGAGAGCGAGCAAAAAATCATCATTATCACTACCCCAGGAACATAACCCTTACACAACACTAGGCCTATGAGGATTTTAACTTTCACTTTATGTCACCTCAGTTATAGTTGCATTTTCAGGAACCTAACCCCATCAATAAACAAGGTTTAACCCTTGTTAAACCAGGCATGGTTTACAGACAGACACAGACAGACAGACAGATACAGAGACAGACAGACAGATACAGACAGACAGACAGACAGACACAGACAGACACAGACAGACACAGACAGACACAGACAGACACAGACAGACACAGACAGACACAGACAGACACAGACAGACACAGACAGACACAGACAGACACAGACAGACACAGACAGACACAGACAGACACAGACAGACACAGACAGACAGACAGACACAGACAGACACAGACAGACACAGACAGAGACAGACAGACAGACAGAGACAGACAGAGACAGACAGAGACAGACAGACAGACAGGGCGACAGACAAGAGGCACTGAACTACAGGCCAGTGTCCTTGACTTGTATACCATGCAAGGTGATGGAGAAGATCGTGAGAAAAACCTGGTAACACATCTGGAGAGAAGGGACTTCGTGACAAATCGCCAACATGGATTCAGGGAGGGTAAATCTTGCCTTACAGGCTTGATAGAATTCTACGATCAGGTGACACAGATTAAGCAAGAAAGAGAGGGCTGGGCGGACTGCATTTTCTTGGATTGTCGGAAAGCCTTTGACACAGTACCGCATAAGAGGCTGGTACATAAGCTGGAGAGACAGGCAGGTGTAGCTGGTAAGGTGCTCCAGTGGATAAGGGAGTATCTAAGCAATAGGAAGCAGAGAGTTACGGTGAGGGGTGAGACCTCCGATTGGCGTGAAGTCACCAGTGGAGTCCCACAGGGCTCTGTACTCGGTCCTATCTTGTTTCTGATATATGTAAATGATCTCCCGGAGGGTATCGATTCATTTCTCTCAATGTTTGCGGACGATGCTAAAATTATGAGAAGGATTAAACAGAAGAGGACTGTTTGAGGCTTCAAGAAGACCTAGACAAGCTGAAGGAATGGTCGAACAAATGGTTGTTAGAGTTTAACCCAACCAAATGTAATGTAATGAAGATAGGTGTAGGGAGCAGGAGGCCAGATACAAGGTATCATCTGGGAGAGGAAATTCTTCAGGAGTCAGAGAAGGAAAAAGACTTGGGGGTTGATATCACGCCAGACCTGTCTCCTGCAGCACATATCAAGCGGATAACATCAGCGGCATATGCCAGGCTGGCCAACATACGAACGGCATTCAGAAACTTGTGTAAAGAATCATTCAGAACTTTGTATACCACATATGTCAGGCCAATCCTGGAGTATGCAGCCCCAGCATGGAGTCCATATCTAGTCAAGGATAAGACTAAACTGGAAAAGGTTCAAAGGTTTGCCACCAGACTAGTACCCGAGCTGAGAGGTATGAGCTACGAGGAGAGACTACGGGAATTAAACCTCACTTCGCTGGAAGACAGAAGAGTTAGGGGGGACATGATCACCACATTCAAGATTCTGAAGGGGATTGATAGGGTAGATAAAGACAGTCTATTTAACACAAGGGGCACACGTACTAGGGGACACAGGTGGAAACTGAGTGCCCAAATGAGCCACAGAGATATTAGAAAGAACTTTTTTAGTGTCAGAGTGGTTGACAAATGGAATGCATTAGGAAGTGATGTGGTGGAGGCTGACTCCATACACAGTTTCAAGTGTAGATATGACAGAGCCCGATAGGCTCAGGAATCTGTACACCTGTTGATTGACGGTTGAGAGGCGGGACCAAAGAGCCAGAGCTCAACCCCCGCAAACACAACTAGGTGAGTACAACTAGGTGAGTACAGGCAGACAGACAGGCAGATACAGACAGACAGACAGATACAGACATAGATAGAGAGATATAGAGACAGATGGAGAGAGAGAGAGCACGCAGTGAAAACTGCTTAACCATGTTTGGAGGAAATGATGCAAGCAATTGTAAACAAACCACCTCTTGTATACCATTTTGAAACTCCCCAGAGCTTTCAAGGTTGCCATGAAGTGTGTCTACCTGTTGTGCGAGTGTTCCAAAGGCTAGGTTAACAAGAGCTATCTTTACCAGTGTGTAGGCAAGTGCTCCCAATGCTAGGCTAGGCAAGGCTCTGCTAACAAGGGACATCCTCTACTCGACTATTTTCTTAGGTTGAACCTTACCAATGGCTTTCTTGGGACCCATGGCAAGATATATACAGTACATAAAAATTATGATACTGGTACTGTATATATCAAATATTATATGATACTATACTGAATAATAACCATATGACCATGTTAAATTATCATGTGAGTTTAGTTGTTGCCCAATCAACTGCATCTTGCCAGGTGACAATGGACAAATAAACAAGGTGTACGAGTTCCTGCTCAATATTATTTGCAATTTCCTTGGATGGTAATTTCCTTGGACCTAAAGCATGATGGGTAAAATGGCTACAACAGGTAGAAATTATTGTAAAAGGCCAAAGAAACAAAGGATGACATTATTAGAAATTAGGCTAAATGCTAGGTAGGTATACCAAGGGAGAGCGAGCAAAAAATCATCATTATCACTACCCCAGGAACATAACCCTTACACAACACTAGGCCTATGAGGATTTTAACTTTCACTTTATGTCACCTCAGTTATAGTTGCATTTTCAGGAACCTAACCCCATCAATAAACAAGGTTTAACCCTTGTTAAACCAGGCATGGTTTACAGACAAACAGACACAGAGACAGACAGATACAGAGACAGATACAGAGACAGACACAGACAGACACAGACAGACACAGACAGACACAGACAGACACAGACAGACACAGACAGACACAGACAGACACAGACAGACACAGACAGACACAGACAGACACAGACAGACACAGACAGACACAGACAGACACAGACAGACACAGACAGACACAGACAGACACAGACAGATACAGACAGACACAGACAGATACAGACAGACACAGACAGAGACAGACAGAGACAGACAGAGACAGACAGAGACAGACAGAGACAGACAGACAGACAGGGCGACAGACAAGAGGCACTGAACTACAGGCCAGTGTCCTTGACTTGTATACCATGCAAGGTGATGGAGAAGATCGTGAGAAAAACCTGGTAACACATCTGGAGAGAAGGGACTTCGTGACAAATCGCCAACATGGATTCAGGGAGGGTAAATCTTGCCTTACAGGCTTGATAGAATTCTACGATCAGGTGACACAGATTAAGCAAGAAAGAGAGGGCTGGGCGGACTGCATTTTCTTGGATTGTCGGAAAGCCTTTGACACAGTACCGCATAAGAGGCTGGTACATAAGCTGGAGAGACAGGCAGGTGTAGCTGGTAAGGTGCTCCAGTGGATAAGGGAGTATCTAAGCAATAGGAAGCAGAGAGTTACGGTGAGGGGTGAGACCTCCGATTGGCGTGAAGTCACCAGTGGAGTCCCACAGGGCTCTGTACTCGGTCCTATCTTGTTTCTGATATATGTAAATGATCTCCCGGAGGGTATCGATTCATTTCTCTCAATGTTTGCGGACGATGCTAAAATTATGAGAAGGATTAAAACAGAAGAGGACTGTTTGAGGCTTCAAGAAGA